CAGATACTAGCCTTCTTTTATGATCTCTCAACGGTCTTATCCCTATCCTAACATTTTGTTTCCCCTTACTGTATTTAAAGAAATCCTTACTGTTAATTTTTACATTTTCAGCCAATTAATAATACAAACTGTTGAATCTTGATCTGAAGTTTCAAGTGGTTTAATGTTTTTGATTTTATCAACACACCTACACCAGCTCTGTGACCGACCATAGAAGCAGTTTCATCTGTACATAAGCTTACCATTTTTTTCTTGTTTACTTCTAATTTATCAAAGGTATTCTTCAAATGTTGGGTAATTGTATGGGCTTTGGCATCATAAAAGCTTTATACTCCCTAGGTAGGAAGTCTCAACATTGCCTTTATGTACATATTTTACACAAATGACTAGTCTTTTTTTTTTTTTATCAAGTCCTAGATCACACGACTCATCCACCATGACACCATAAAAGTCTCATCTTTTGATTATTCCTGAATGATATCTCCAATGATGTTGGAATTAAATACATTGCTTGTGTAGAAAAATCTACAGTGTTATCTAAAAAACAACAACTTTGATGTTCATTTTGGAGGTTCTAGAGACTATGCAAAAAAATGGAAACTTCAAAATAAAAATAAGTATAAGTTAACTATCATGAAATTCTCAATTCACACAAATATTTTATTTAAAATTTTTTTTTACTTTATTATGTCTACTAAAAGATAAATTTTTATGGAGATACTCATAGTGAATTCGAATTATAGTAATCATTAATTCTTCAATGCAGGCTCAATCCATTGGATGAGCAACATTGCTAATGATTTTTGTGCTTTTAGGCTTACAGGCGAGTAGACTGAAAAATTGGTCTAAAACAAAGAAAAATTACTGAGATATGGCTTAAATGAAACAAACAGCACGTAGAAAATAATCAAGTTTGCAAACTATCAAAAACATCAATAGTTGAGTGTACTATCGGTGATTGTAATCAATTCTAAAATTTACCATCGATGCATTGCTATCAGGACATTCATAATTGTAATCTATAAATACTTCAATGTATCGTTACACTCCCAATATGTAGAAAAATAATCATTTTCATATGTGCAATAAATCAGCACACCAATTCATATTGTTGATGTCGGTGATAGTACATCTGCAACTAATATGTGTAAAATAGAAAATTATAGATATTTTACTTGGATATGCTAGGTACCTGAAACACTGAAATTACTTAATCTCATTAAGGATTCGATCTACAACAAGGACTGACAATGAGGTTAAGTACGTTATATTAAAATGATTTTGGAGGCTCAATACATTGTTAGCATGGTCATGCTCTATCTGATGACCGTGATCTCGACAATAGTCTTGCAGCATAGTTTCCATTACAAAAAGCTGTTACGTACTAAGCACACTATTCCTCCCTACCATTAAAATATAAGGGATATTTCCATCTTGGAAATTCTAAGTCACCAATCTGAACACACCTCTATGATCTGAGTGTATATATGAATATTTTGTGCTGGAAAGGGCTGTTACATTACCTTCCCAAAAATTATAAATTTTTGGTGGCATCATACTAACTATAAAACTTCAAACAATGTCATAATGTAGTTCCGATACATCCATCCCACTACAACTTTATATTGGCTGTGGTTGTCACCTGACTTGCATATTCAAAATCATTTTAATATAATGTATATATCCATCTGTATACTTAAAGCAAATTACTGAAAATAAGTTTATAAATAGGAAAGTATTAACAAGAACTACTTATAGTTGAAATGTCTGTCATCAATTAAATAAACATGTTTACAGTGTAGTTTAAGCAAAAATGTAGCATGTTTATGTTACTTTAGTCCTTAAAGCACTAACAATAATTTGGTAACCATGTCTAGAACAAAGTTTAGTCATCAAGGTATTGATAATAATTATGTAAACATGTCTACAGTGTAGCTTGAGTAGTTAAGGCACCAACAATAATCAGGTACATACATCTAAAGGGTAGCCTTAGTTATGGAAGTGTTATTTATCAACAACATCTGGATTAAATGATGTATTTCTTGAATGGGAATTAAAAACTGACAGTTATATTTTTAACATGTTAAACTTGTACTTACTCCATTATTCTACCAAATACCTCCTTTTCAGTTTATTTGTTATAACTGAAATCATTACCTGGATTATCCTTGGCATGTTCTGCTGCATCTACTTCTGAACAGGCAACACAATACAAATTTCCTTGTTTGTCTTTCAATAATATTGTCTGAAAGAAAAAATTACTGAAAAGTCAATAGAGGTAACTAGTGCATCATATTAATACAGTTTAAAACAGAATGTACATTATGGGCATCATAGTTTCATGTTTTATTTTACACCTATTTGTATTTACACCACCACATGTCATGCATCAAAATTCAATTACAGTATGCTCACTTGACCATACCACAACAAGTAGCAAATAGGAAATTTGAGAACTTTAGGTACTTTACAGCACACAAGGAAATATCTATAAATAGATCATGTTTGAAGATTTACTTCTTTTCTGATTCTACATATGAGCTGAGGCAGTAATCTAAGTCAGCTCACTTGGATTAATTCATATATTGTATTCTGAAATAGAGGATATTTTACTTATTTAGTTGCCTTTTAATGCATGAGTGAATAATCAAACTCATCACAAAGGAAAATATGGGTTTAATGTGTGATCTTTTTCTGCCCCATAACATAATATCCACAGTTCTTAGACTTCATAGACTCTAACACAAACAAGTTAAAAGGTTAGGAATCGGTATCAGTATGACAAGTAATTGGCTGTAAAATTTTCAAGCCATGAAAATTCTAGTGTGTGTGTGTATATATCTGTTTATATGTAATATATGTATTTTAAAACACAAAATGAATAGAAAAGTACATATAATTTTTGAAGTCAATTTATTCATCATTTAAGGCTTTTTCAATTTTTACATCTAAAATTGAACAATTAAATGAAACTATTACAGCACACAGAATTACAACACTAAAATTAATGGCAGCAAAGCCAAAGATGTTCAGAGAGAGATTGAAAGAAAAAACCCATATAATTAGAAGAAATCTAACATTTATAAATATGAGTAATAATATTTGTCTCTAAGTTAGTGAATTAACAACTAAATAAATTAAAAGATGTGAAAAATCAATAATGAGATAAAAAGTTTATTACTTATTGATATATATCAATTACATCCCTAGATCTCAAAACTCCAAATAAGTTTGTTTGTTTGTTTTTGAATTTCGTGCAAAGCTACACGAGGGCTATCTGCACTAGCCGTCCCTAATTTAGAAGTGTAAGACTAGAGGGAAGGCAGCTAGTCATCACCACCCACCGCCAACTCTTTTACAAACGAATAGTGGGATTGACCATCACATTATAACGCCCCCATGGCTGAAAGGACGAGCATGTTTGGTGTGATGGGGATTCGAACCCGCGACCCTCAGATTGCAAGTCGAGCACTCTAACCACCTGACCATGCCGGGCCTCCAAATAAGTACATACATCCTTTAATAAAACATTATACTACTAGCTTAATGTGATGTTTTAACAAGGAGCTCATATTAAAACACAATATTAATATCTGTAGTTCAACACTTCTAGTCACTAAAAGAGAAGAGATATACAAATACCTTGAACACTTAGAGGGTACTGTTGGTTTGACAAAATCATGATATATTTTGGTATGTTGATGTTATACCACTATCAGATTTCACTGTCATCCATGTTACAGAGTCATAGCAAGTTTTAACTCTGTCACATTATTCTGTATTATGATGTAAATATATGTAAACAATTTAAAGTTATAAATAGTATATTTGGATCTACTAAATTATTTTGCTATACGTGTACTTAGATCGACATTTCTTATTAGTAACTGCTGCATTTGTCACATTATATGTCATACATAAGTAAGTTGCACGTACAGTGAAATAGTATCTTCGTTCATTATTTAAAGTTAAAAGAGTTAAAAATTGGAATATGAGAACAGTAGCTACTCTGAAGTTTGCAGCTGTAACAGGTCTGCTTATACTTCATAAATGTTGCCTGCTTCTGATAACAGGTCCTCAAGAACTGATTGATATAGATAATGTCTGTTTAATTTCCACCACAATAATGGATTACTGTCACATTAAAAGTGGTAGAGAGAAATATAAATTAATTTCACTAGTAACAGCGACTTCTTTCTTACGACCATTACAATATCACTGTTGATAATTGCAGATATTTCACAACAAATCTAGTTTAAAGTTTTTCTCTCAAGGATGCCTTCATTGTTATGAGTTCATAATGGCTAGTATTATCTTTAAACAGATAGCAATGAACAGTAGCGACAGTCGAAATAATTTCAGAAATTATTGAGCCTGTAAAGGTAATGTTTTAGTAATTTTATTTCAAATGGTAGTAGCAATTTTAAGCATATTTTCATTAGGGGTCTTTGATTACTGTCAAGGTTAGCATCACAGGGGCATATTGTTTTTTTTTGTTCCAAAAGTCTTTCAAAGAGATAGTACTTGTATGTTTAATCTTTTTTTCTGCACATCTTATTTCCTTACAAGTCATATTTACCTTTTGTTTAGCCAAATTTTGAACATGATATATGTATAGTATTGAAAGTGTGTAATTTATATTGCAGTTGTGTTTCCTTTATCAAATAAAAACTAGATATGGTTAATTCCCCAATCAAATAATTTCACCCCATGTAGAGTGTAACTCTTCACTACAATGATAAATGTCCCATAGTTTGTGTGCTTATTCTTGACATTAGATAAACACACCAGAACCCAAGATCACACACACTTACCTTCAATATTAGACCAGAAGACATCAGTTTATTGCAAATTCTTGTAGTTTTGGGCACGCATATTTTTCAAGTGGTTGTGCACAGAGGTAGTAGAAGGTGGTTTTCCTTTACCATTATGTGAAATTAATATTCTACACAATTTGCATTTCACTTTAAAAGCACAAAATACTTTATAGTAATCCCACACAATTTTTTTTTTTTGCATTTTAATGGACAAAGGTTGTCACTGATAGCAATTACCAACAAAGAGACTCAGAGATAACAGTGTACACTGTAAAGGACAGGTCTATACATGTATTATTTACTGACTAATGCTAAAACATCTGTTGGCATGTTACAACTTTTATATACTGCACATTGACAGACACAGACTGTTTATAAAATCACTTGTCTCTGTAGAACAATGCTAGTGATAGTTGCAGACACTAAACAGAGCCAATTACGATGAGTATTCACCTAGAATTGGTATAATACTTTTTGGTTATGTATCCTAATGGTCTGTACTTTGTCTTTTTCAAAATCTCATATTTGCTTCTATGTCCTATACCTTTTAATTAAACATATCAATCATTTGGCAGTTAAATATTTGTACATAACCAAGACACTATTGTCTACAGCTTTATTTGTAAGATACTTTCTAATTTTGGATACCACTTGTTTAAGACTAAGTTTGCTGCATACAGAACACATACGTTCTATAACGGAATGGACGGCAACTGCCTGTTGTAAAATACACAAGTGTAGAGGTTTGAAGACGAAAGATGGTAGACTTTCAAAACATTGTCCTCTACACTTGTGTCATTTTTACAACAGGCAGTTGCTGTCCATTCTAGTATACTGATCATTTGTTCTATATATTTAAAAATATTCAGATGTTTAAAATAGTGCATGTTTTCTAAAGGCAGCAAAAAGAAACTATATATTGATGTTTTTCATGATGAATAATACACTTGGTGAGTTAAAGATGAGATTTTATATATAGTTTGATTATAAATGAGAGAATATTATCTCTTAACATATTGCAGCCAGGTCACAAGTTTACTAGTGTTTTGTGCAGAGTGTCTTTGTGTGCCATTTATTAAAATGTTGCATTCGAAAGGAGTTGGACACATTTTATTTTGTTCTGGAGAGTTATAATTTTTCTGATTTTTGCTGACATTACCCATATTTTTATAAAGGGTCTTCTCGCAAAAAAACGTAATGTGCCTAGTGAAGATGAGATAATTACTGAACTATTTGATGATAACTTAACAGATCTTCCAAGTTAGGGTGAAGATTCTGATGTGGATATGTTTGTGGATCATTCTTACAGTGACCCTAGCTACAATGACATTGTTAGACCTACAAAGATATGTAAAGTTGTTGTGCTCTCAACTAATTCTGAATCAGAAAGTGACGATGATTCTACAAATGTTCCTGTTAGTGATTTGTTTTCCCACTGTGATAATGATAATTCGTCAGAAATAGATATTCCATCGAACTTGCAAATGTTTGAAGGAAATCCAGGGGTCATTACAACTCTATCCGAACCTGAAAGTATTGTTGCCGTGACAAGTCTAATATTTGGTGATGACTTGTTTGAAATGTTTTGTCAGGAAATGTGTATCTGCTATAATCAAACTGCAGAGAAACATAAAATGTCATCTAAAGGACTTCAATGGTCTGAAGTTACACCTACAGATATAAGTTCCTAGGCCTTATTCTACTAATGGGACAGACAAGGAATTTTAACTGGAAATATTATTGGTCAACAAATCCTCTTTTGATTAGCCCAATATTTTCGCAGACAATGAGCCGAAATAGAGTTCAATAAATTTGGACATTTTAGCATTTCAATGATAATAAGAAAATGGATGAGTCTTCAAAATTGAACCAGTACTGGATTATTCCCTCAATAAATTCAGGACACTATGCAAACCAAAGCAAAAGTTGTCATGGAGAGGATGTCTAAGATTCCGAACATAAAACCCTGCATAAATTGTAAAATATGGCCTGCTGGTGAGAATGGTGTGAGAGTGACTGTAACGAATTTGTTATTATATATTTATTTTAATATTGACTTTGCTTAGATTAAGTTTATATTTAAAAACATGCATAGCTTGTAGTGTTAGATATGTATTGTGAAACTCCAGCCTATTCTCCAAAGTTGTAGAAGATTCTTGAGAGTAAGAATCAACAATATATGTGTGTATGTAAATGCTTAAATTTGTATTGTTACATAAAACTGAAATTACTAGAACTTCTCCACACGCTATAAGTATAACCAACGTGCTGTGCCAAAGGGAGTATCTATTATTAGTTTGCAATAATCAGTGTGCTATAAAACTTCAGAAGCTATAACTGTGATTGTTATAGTGCTTACCAATCAAAAACCTTCAGATATTTGACCAGGAGTATTTACAAAGTTCGAACATTACAACTCGTTTATATTCATCTCTGTCTAGCATCAAGTACAAATCTAAGATACAACTCCTCTATCAGTTCCTTTAACAATATTTAACAACTCAGTCAGATTCCCTCTAACTTTCCATTTTTCAAGAGAAAGCAATTCCAGAAATCATAACTTGTCAGCTTTTCCATCCCAGATATCATCATAGTAGTCACCCGAGAACCTGTCCAACATGACAATGTTGTTTCTAAGGTAAGGATCCCAAGAATGAACATATTACTTCAAATGAAGTGTAACCAATGACCTGTACAATGAAATTATAGCTTTTTTAGACATATATTCAATATTTCTATAGATAAAACCTATTTGCCCTACCATTAGCAACAACACACTGCTTGGATGGTTTGAGAGACTGATCAACCAGAACACCAAGATTCTTTTATTTCATAAAACTGTTCAAGTTATTCCTATCAAAACTATACTTATAATTCAAATTATTATAACCCATTTATTATAAATAAAGGCCATTTGCAATTTATTTGCCCAACTCACTACATTATCAAAATCCTTTTGTAAAGCAATAGCATCCTCACAGCCAAAAACACTAAAACCTTATATTATCAACAAATCTATGTAATTTATTGACCATTCCTTCATTTACATCACTGATGTAATTTAAAAATAGCAAAGATCTTAACAAAGAGCCCTGAGATACTCCACTTATGACATTAGTCCAGTTTGACTGAACTTTATAATATTCCTTGGCTTTCTTCCATCCAATAAATCAACTTATCCCGCAAACCTACAAATAATTTTTTCCACAAGCCTTTTATGTGGCACCTTGTCAGATTCTTTCTGAAAATCTAGATGCATCAAATCCATACTCTTATTTACATAAGCAGTAACCTCTTCAATATAAAAAGATTAGTAGGGCAAGATTTTCCCCTTGTGAAACAATGTTAACTATCGAAGAAAACCTTGAACTTTGTTAAGTGAGTTTGCAAAGAATCTTTTAACAGACTTTCAAAAACTTTTCCCCACCACTGATGTAGGAATAAAAGGCCTATAATTAATTGGACAATTTTTATCACTTCCCTTGAAAAGAAGAGTAACTAAGTAAATCATGTGGTATTTAGATGGAAAAGGGATTATAAATGTGTGCTTTGTGGGCATATAATGCATTTCCCACCATTTTTATTAATATAGGAATTTTATAACTTTGTTTAGTCTGTTTGTATACAGTTTTAGAATAAACATGTAGTCCAGAAAACTGTCTAGTTGCCTTTTGGCCTTTGTTGTTCTCAATAGCAGATAGTATGTGCTCTGTCTGTAACAATGTCACAGCAACTTTGCAAATTAGTGTAGGAAAGGGTCAATGATTGTAACTCCTTTGTTGACTAAGTGGATGATGTCTATAGGTTACAGTCAATAAATGCTGTAAGAGAATGACCAGTCACATGGTGATCCTTTTGCAAAGAAAGGATACAAGGATTTCTGTAACAGTACTTTTACAGTTCTACTTGGTTTCAATGGATAATTCTCTGGATATCTGGCCAGAAAAAAAGAAATCAATCTATTCACTGATCCAGTATAAGCAACTGTGTCTGCAATTACGTACCTTTTTTTTTATTTCTCTGTAATAAAGATTGTTTTACTGATCATGTGTCTAGTTTCCTTATTTTTCAAACTGCTAAGCACCCAGTTGGTTTTAAAATTCAGGTTATTTTCCCATTATCAAGTGGACCTACCTAATGCTTGTGATGAAATCAGTTTACCTATGAATACCAAAGATGGAATTCATATAAAAAAATTTATTCTTTAAGATAAATAAGGATGATATATATTTGGAGAAAATTAAAAACAATAATTTTGATTTATACTGAATTATGAAAGTTTGGATGTCATTGACATCATAAAATATTTATAAGTCAGAGAGGTCTGGCTACATAGGTAATAAAATATGTTTCATAATGTATAATATGCTTAGGTACTCACTTCACACATCTCACAAATGGTGTTTAACATTTTGTACCCTTTTAACAAATAGTCTCCCATAAGAGAACTGATCTTATCTGCACGTTCTCTCTTAGCACGAATAACTTTCATTTCAGCATCAGTAGGTGGTTCCCATATAGAATCTGAACTTTTTTCCATTTTATTAGGTGTTGTCTTGTTAAACACAGATATCTAAAATAAATAAAAAAATTTAAAGTCAGAATAATTAGCAATACAGGTACTTCTGTCCTTGGATATTCTATTCAGAACATAAAAGCATAAATATAACATATCTTCATCAAGTGTTGATGAATTTTAATAATGGTTGTAAGCATCAACGATACCCATTTATAATAAAAATTCACCTACTTTGATAATTTAGGCTATAAACTTTACAAACTGGTTGTAAACTTTAACCTGTCCTAAAATTTATTGAAGCATTGGTCACCTACAAATTCTTGCCTAAAACTGTTTGCCAGATACTGAAGTACAGGACATTACAACACATATTGACAGTTTAGTTGCTGATACCAAACATACAATCTATTAGTATTGACAGTTTAGTTGCTGATACCAAACATACAATCTCTTTTTGTAGTGCATCTAGGAGCAAATTATCTGGAAAACTGTAAATCAGAAGAGCTGCTTAAATAAGTATAAAGAACTACTTTAAGATTTAGGGATAGAAAGGGACATGTAGCCATTTTGACAGTGCACCCTCAGACTAGCTGTGGGAATGAATAATTTAGCACAATTCAAGGCTTAAATGGAGTATCGTGGATATATTTAGAGCAACTGGTGGGTTGGTTGGCCTATAGTATTTGTTTTAGGGTAAAGGTGAATTACATGCTAGAGATGGGCTACACGTAAGCAGGTTAGAAAGTAGGATGCTTGGGAAGCACTAAGTATATTCATTAAAGATACTTTAAATTAAATTTGCATATTAATGAAGGAAATTTGGAACAACAGCTAATAGAATAGCTAAGGCCATGATGAGTTTAGAAATAGGAGAGTTGGAGTATAAGAAGTTAAATATTAGTTTTAAAGACAAGCCTATCGCATTTAAGAATAAACATAGTAGATTCAAGAATAAGTTTAGTTGGTATAATTTTAATGTTGGAAGTATTAGGAACAAAATGGATGAGTTCAAGACTAGTTGAAATGGAAGACTATGATATAATGGTTAGTTTGGAGAACAATGATAAGAGGAATTATTTTGAAATTCCAGTTTGTAAGTTATTATTTCAGTGATAGACTTTTTAAAAGAGGAGTTTGTGTGGTTCTTTATGCAACAGATACTTGCAGCCTGTTAGGATTTAAAACATAAAAATGGCAGTCAAAAGGTTCATGCTACATGCATACGAGTCATAATCAGGTGTTTAAAGTGTTTTAATTGACAATTGCTTAAGCTACTTGGTTAAACAGATGAGAGCAATTTGAAATTGTATAATGAGATAAGGGTTGTTACGAATAAGAATAGTGATGTAATAATTATGAGATACTTTAATTTTGGACACACTGTTCAAGACTTCATGCAGTCAAATAGTGAGGGAGAGTGAATAAGAATAGTGATGTAATAATTATGAGATACTTTAATTTTGGACACACTGTTCAAGACTTCATGCAGTCAAATAGTGAGGGAGAGTGATTTCTTGAAGCAATTCAGGATGGTTTTTATACCAAATGGTCAGAGAGCCAAACAGGGGGGGATTTCATTTTAGATTTATAGGTGGCCATTAATGAGGATGTGGTTGCAGGATCTGATGTGGAGGAATGTTTGGGGAAAAAGAGATCATTGCATAATTAGATTTGATGTTTTGTTACATACTGAGATAAAAAGAAATAAAACTAGTTCCTAATTTACAAAAATCTAATTTTGAGCCATGAGATGAGAATTACCATTAATAAATTTGAATATCAAGTTAAAAGGTGATGTGGAACAGATATGGGAAATTTGTAAAAATAACGTGCATTTAATTAAAGATAGACAGTTTCTTGAAAAGAATAAAAGGGAAAATCAAACTTAACTGGCTTACTTCAAACACAAAGTAGATAATAAGTATAAATGCCAAAAATTTAAGAAGTTTAATCTGAAAGATAGGTTGGAAGATTTGCGAAACTATAGGGAAGCAATGCACTGTTGCTAGTAGTAGTAGTAAAAATAAAAGAAATTTAAGGTAAGTTTATAGACCTACTGAATACAAAAGAAGAGTGGGATCTCAGTACAAATCACTAGTTAGACCTCACTTGTACTGAATACAGTTTTAGTCTCCTTATCTAATAAAGAATATTGACTAATTGGTAAGAGTTCAGAGACAGGTTATGAAGATGATTCGAGGGATGGATGGGCTATCTTACGGAAAAAGGTTAAAATATCTATTTTTATCTTATTGAAGTTTACAAGATAATCTACAGAGATTGATAGAATAAATGCCTCTGATTTATTTGTGTTTATTGTGAAGGTAATAGGATGACAGAACCTAAGTTTAAGATTTGGAAAAGGCAAGCTAAGGTTCAATTAAGACAATTCTATTTTTTTTAAATGATGATTGAATTATGGAATGGGATGCTCTAACAGTAGTCAAAGCCAGCACTTTACCAGAATTTAACAGGTGGAAATCATGATTTCCTGAAAAATAAAGGGTGAATTGGAAACTTTACTTTTCTTAAGTGTAGGTGTGAAAGGATAGCCTTGAAGAACCAAATGATCCTCTGTTGTATATATTTATGTTATTTGTGAATCCAAACACATAAAATACACAATGCAACATTCCATGTACTAGTTAAAACTATTCTAAAGTTCTAAGAAAGAGTGGCATAGAGACTAAAAAACAAAATACTTGGAAACCTAAAGCATTCAAACGTGCAAGTTTAGCTTTCATTTAATCTTAATAACAAGTTTTGCCCATTATTCATAGCTTCAAGTCAAAGTATAAAATGTTTAAATCAAGAGGAACAACAGATATAACATTATCAAACTTTGCTGGATTTGATACAAATCATTTACTCAGCACTAATACCTTAAAAGTAAAATACTTTAGATGAAGTTACACATTTAATCAGTAAGAGAAAATTCACATTTAATAATCAAACTTGACAGGCTTAATTACACGATTCACACAACATCAGAAGAAAGTGTTATATAATATAAAAAGTTACATATTTTCATTGTTTAAAAATTTTACAATAAAACTACTCATAATCGTCATTTTAATTATGGACTTAATTCTTACTATTGCAAAAACTTACATAAAGACTTAAAACAGTTCCACTTTCAAAATTTATTATAATTTATATTGATCTCTTTATGGATCGTGCTTTAGTGAGTTTAGATGTGTTACTTTCGTTATACATATAATAAACACAGAAACATAGCTAATTTATTATCGCTTTTAATTTTATGCTCCGAAATTCGCTATAAATATACTACTTGAGCCAATTTTTTACAGCTTATAAATTATACCTGCATATATAATACAAACCATCTGTAGCTCTGTTACAACTCCTACGTGTTAACAGTTAAGCCTACCTCACGATTTATTTAGCACTACTACTAATACTATATTTAGGCTAACTTCCCCAATTAAGCACCTTACATAGAATAGGCGTGAATCTTTATTTTCTCACTTAAAAAATAATAAATGAAATTGAGACTTAACATCTAAAAGTAATATTATGGTTGAAGTCAAGCAAATTAAGGATAAATTCAAAAAATAACTTTAAATTCACACACCACGTTCTCTACCCACTTGGAAACACACTCAAACAAATATTTAGCGAGAAAATATTGTATTAATCATGTTCTTGAAAAAAGCCACCACGAGTTTATCATTAAAAATACATTTTAAACTAATTTTACAAACAAAAGTGTAAAAGAAACACTAAGCCTTAGCTTTGAAACTTTATTAAGGTTATCATAAAAATCATCATATTAGGAAAAGTTAAGAAAAACAAAAGGAGAGACAATATGTTAACTTTTCTTTAATTTTCTGAAAAAATACAGAAATTTTGCCATAAAAGGTGAACTTATTGAAATTTGGAAATATCATAGAAGATTTCATTCGAATGTTCAAAATGTGCAAATTCAGGTTTATGTCTACTATGTGTGTGATATGTTATAAAAAGGTAGAATATTATGACTTGAAAATAATAGTCCACGACTGATTTATCAATAAGAACATTTGAAAGAAAGTAATGATGAGTATATATTAAATATTCAGTTCCGCCAAGGCCTTTCGTCCATTACCATGGCTCTTCAGGTCGGGTGGGATACAACACAGTTGTGGTTGAGATACTATTTAATAATATTAGCAAATCGTCTGACAGCAACTGTTATAGAGGGAACGGCATTACATCGGTGAAATGTAATTTTTCATCGATTTTATTTATGTCAGTACAAATCATAAGTAAGGAAAGGATTTTTAACGTGATGAAGAGTGAAAGTAAATTTATAATAATATATCAACTATACTATATCTATTATATCCACTATGAACAAGGCTTTTCGTCCAGTACCAAGGCTCTTCTAGCTAGGTAGGACACAACACTTTTTGTCGTTTCGTTCCAGTCCCAGTAAGGGAACTTGCGGGCCAGCAGAAGTTTGGTTCACTTTTTCTGCCAGGAAAAGTGTTGAAACTGAAGGAAAGTATAGAGGTATGAATGGTCAAGTGAAAATTTTAAACCAGTTTTGGTGATATGAGACTGGAAAAACAAATGACAGAAGTAGAAACGGACATTGATGAAAACATCACAGTTCAAATATGCACAAATTTGGATAACAATTAAAGAATAGTGTTGAATAACATATCAACTCCACTACATCTACTATCTACTTTTCTGTCCAGGCATATCGTCCAATACCACGGCATTTCAGAACGGATGGGGTACAACAACCACTCTAGTCCTTGAGACGCTATTAATCACTTGATAATAACTGTCAGGTGTGAAATGGATGAAGATTGTGAATTATAACTTTTCATCAGTTTTATTTATGTCACAACATACCATGATTAGAGTAATGAATTTTAACATTATATTATTTATTTATCTGAGAACCATATATTATTATTTTATCATTATTTAGGAAAACTGGAGACACAGCAAGCTAGTCTTCTTGATCTCAGTTTGGGTCAAATGACCAACATGTTAGCGGGAGAAAACTACTGGGTGTCTATAAGTTATTTGACCCATTTTAAAAATTAATATCTTCAAATATATTATAGATAGAACACTCTGTTTTTTCTTGTTTTAGTATACTTCCACATGTGCACCGTCTGTTGCTCGAAGAATGTCTAGGTGATACTCTACCTCCATCCAGGTATTGTTCAGCAGCTCAGGAGTCACATTCCTTATTGCATCAATTATTCTGTGACGAAGATCCACGATATCACTTACAGGTGTCGAATACACCCAATTTTTTACAACCCTCACAAGAAAAAATCCAAAGAGGTTATGTCAGGAGAACGTGAGGACCATCGATCGTGTTGCTCCATCTCTACCAATCCATCTGTCTGGGAATGTGTTATTCAGAAACTCCCGGACGTCAAGTTTCCAGTGTGGTGGAGTACCGTTTTATTGAAAAATAACATGAGGCAGATTTTCCAGTTGAGAGACAACAAACAGCTGGAGCATGTTTAGGTAATTTGTCCCAGTCACAGTTTTTTTATCGAAGAAAAATGGCCCGATAATTCTATCACACATCAAGCCACACCACACATTAATATCTGAGCTGTCACGTTTATGCTCGTACACCACATGCGGGTTTTGTGATCTCTAAATATGAGCATCCCGCCGACTGACATGACCGGAAACCTGGAATTTAGCCTCATCTGAAAACCAAGCTTTTGCCAGGTATTCATTATCCTGATCTATTCGATTCCTCAATCGATTTCCACTGCAAAATTCTTATGCCTTTGTCTATCACCTCCACATTGTAGGCATGCAAACGAAGTTTTTTGTTTAAAAGTTTGTTCATTGTGCTTTTTTGGCAAGTTAAGTTTAAGGGGAGCACGACGAACGAACTTTTAAGAAATGCTTCTTGTACACGATCAACTGTTGTATCAGTTACTTTTGGACATCCAACTCTCTTTTGTTATAACATACTACCAGTTGCTAGGAATTTTTCAAATCAAGCATTTACGCTGTTCTTGGTTGGTGGGTCTTTTTCATAAATGCCTCGGTAATTTCGTTGCACTGACACAATTGATTTGGATTCAGCAAACCAAACCATACACTGGCTTTTTCCTGGGGTGTTGCAATTTCTTTTTTTTAAATTTTTTTAGCAATGCTATTACAACGGCTCTGCAACTGAAAGGAGGAAAAACTTTATAAATTGTTCGTCAAGTTAAATAAAACCGGAGTGTTCTATTTATAATATTTTTGAAGTTATGAATTTTTAAAATGGGTCATATAATTTATGGTCATCCTGTACATTAGTAATTATTAAAACAAATTCTCAGCCAACCACACCATATTTGATAAATCCAGTGCCGACTAGGTCGTTTACCCATTACCAATGTTGTTCAGACCGGGTGGGATACGACCATTGAGGTGTGTGTACATATAAATTACATTATATAGAACTTACTGGATATGCCAGACATGATAATGGTTGAGATGCTATTTAATATGTAGTGCTGAACATCAGTTGTTATAGTGTGAACTGAATTACATTGATGAAGTGTAATTTTATACATGTCAGAGCAACTTAGAAGTAGGGTTAGGATTTATAACTTCACATATTATTATACCAGCAAGCTAGTCTTCTTATTCCAGGAGAGGGTCAATTTACCACAGCGTCAATGGAGAAAACCACATAAGTAATTTTCTGAGTAAAATTAAAAAGTGAATAATGCTTTGTCGATCATATCTATTTTAACCAGTGCCGACAAATGCGTCCCCGATGGCTTAACGACATGTCTGAGGAGTTTTCACACAAAAATCAGTTTCAATACCCGCTGTCGCTGTGGGTAGAACACAGAAAACTCAATGTGTAACTTTGTGCTTAACAACAAGCAAAGCCGGCAAGGCTTTTCTCCCGGTACGAGGGCTTTTCAGAACTACTAAGATATGATAGGCATAGTAGTGGCTGAGACGTTATTGAGGAAACGTGTTCTATCACTTCTATCGTTTGGCGAGTTCTTTTGAATTACAGATTGAACATAATGTGAAATCCAGTCCATATAATGATAACAACTTGGTTTTTTCTTAACGTTTGCTACAGGATACTATAACTTGTACAAACTTGTAAGCCCTAGTTTACAAATAATATTTTCACTTTCATCTGGAATTCACTCGCTAATGGTACTTTGACTAATGGACAAACAGTGTTTTTACAGGAATTCAAACTAGAGGGGCATTCGAATTTTCAGTGGTATGAGGGTCAAGGGGTAAGGCTATGAGGGCGAAGGTGGGTTGTACGGAACCATAGTAAACCCTAAAAAATGTTTAACAACCTAGGTTACTCAAGCCTTCTATGAATCATTACATCTATATTATTCTTGGATTTTTGTTGTAATTTAATGAACTTCTCGATTGCAGTGCGTTCTTCTTTTGTAGCTTCTCGTGAGCTTAGTGCTTCCAGTCCTTCAATTGATATGCTTTTTAGTTCCTTCACATGGTCAGGCAGAAGATGACTTCTTCCAAAATACAAAATTGCATCCAATGACGAAAAATAAACGTTCATTTGTAGCTGTTGTCATTCTGAGTAGCAAGAGATGAATTCTTGCTTCTTTCATTACATGAAACATAACACAAAAACAGGTTGAGTCACTAGTGATAATCAAAAAGAAATTCAAGTTAATTTATTCCATTATATTATACTCTGATGCTCCACCTTGCATTCAAATTCTCTATTTTGTCCTGATCACATGGTAGTCCAATTGCTGGTAGTGCCTCACTCCACTCAATGGTCAGTGTTATATAAGACAGGCAGCTGTAAAAGCTACATTGAGGTTGATTATAACCCAAAAATCACCATTGTAGATTGGTAAGAACCAAATCTATGCACTTCTTCAGTTGGTTTAACAAATACTTCTTGTCCTCTTCACTTAAAGATTCAATATAAATGCCTTCATTAATCAATATCTGGACTGAAGTGTTTGTTTCTTCCAACACAGATTCATTGGGTATCTCTCTGACTGATCCAGGTTAGCTTCTGTTACTGGACAAAGACCTATTACTTTTGTATCATAAACCTCTATTGCATTGTTTAATGACTCAAGTGGTTTCAACAGAAGATACAAGAGTGAGAGAAATACGATTGTCTTCTCTTGGAAGATTCTGCAGCTCACACTAGTGCTAGTTGGAGCAGATGGCCTCTGCAGAGTGTATACGCTATTCACTATCTTTCTGCAACAGCCTCAGCTGAATGGGTAAAAACATGCAGTGCAATAGTGAAAGACTCAGTAGTTGAAAAAGTGAAGAACATTCTCAACAAATTCAAGCAATTTGCATACATGGCTGATGAATGCACTGTTGCAAGTGAGCGTCAGGTATTAAGTCATTGTGTACGTAATCTTGGTGTATGTGGTAGGCCAGTAGGTGCATTTCTAGGTGTTCAGGTTATAAGAGATATATCAGCTGCATTTGTGACGGCTCATATCTTAGAAGAATAAAGTGCTTGGAAATTGGACCCCAAACCGATTGTTGCTTGTGGATTTGGTGAAGCTGCAAACTTCTCTGGAAGACATCTTGGAG